GCATGATTCAATGCCACTTCTGTCTTAAGCTGTGAAACAGCTATTGTCACCCCAAAAGCTTCCACTGTAAATTGTACACATGTGTGTGGAGATATGAGTATTTGATTTTCAGTTAAACAGTATGTATAAATAAACGTAAACAATGGAAATTTGACTTTGCCCTCATTTATTTAAAAAACAAATGAACTGAGATGGCATTTTTGTCTGTTGACAAAGTAAGTACATCCTTGGCTTCAGTAACTGGTACTGCCTCTTTGGCAGAAACAACCTTATAGAGATGTTTCTTGTAACTGCCTACGAGTTTCTGACATCTACTGGGAGAAATTTTTGCCCATTCCTTCATGCATATATATTTAAACTGTGCAGTTTGAGGGGTTTCTTGCATGTACAGCCTGTGTCAAATTCACCCAGAGCATTTCAGTAGAATTCAGATCTGAGCTTTGACTAGCCATTCCGCAACCCTCCATTTCTTCCTTTTGAGCCATTTCTTGGTGGATTTACTTGTATCTTTGGGATCATTATCCTTTTGGAAGGTCCACTTCTTTAACCTTTTTACAGATAGTCTAACATTCTCCTCAAGCACTCTCTGTGCCACAACATAATATTTCTACCCTCATGCTTTACAGTTGATATGAGGTGCTTCTGATCAAATGCTGTTTTTGGTTTTCACAAAACATGGCTTCTGTTACTTCAGCCAAACAACTCAACAATTTTTGATTCGTCTGCCCATAGCATGTTGTCAAAGAAGTCCAAGGCCTTGCCTAGATATTCATTAGCCAACTTTAGTCTAGCCCTGATGTTCTTTTTAGACACGAAAAGCTTCCTCCTGACAAACCTCCCATGTACAGTCTTTCTTTAATGATAGATGCATGCACTTTCATAACAAGTGGCAATAGCTACCTGCAGATCCTGTGATCCTGCATCTTACAGTCTGCTCTAGGGTTAAATTTACTGGGGCAGCCTGGTCTGGACATATTGGCAGTGGTTTAAAATCTACCCCGCTTGTAGATTAACTTTTGGACAGTGGAATATTCCTATATTTTGGATATCTTCTTGAACTCCTTCCTAGACTAATAGACATCTACAAGTTGCTTTCTGAAGGTGTCAGAGAGCTCTTTTGATCTATGTAATATGATACCACACATTCCAATAACAAAGATCAAACCAGACCAGATATCTGAGGCTTAAATAGTAATTTAAATAGTAACACTGTTTCAATTAATACTTTATATCTGCATCTCCAAATTTGTTAAAAATGCTACATTTTTCATGAGATACACTTACTTCTTCACATGACTATATAACCAAGAGAGCAACCATTGATGCACACCCTGCTGTCTCTACACTCTCTTTCTAGATTAACTTTATGCAAATTAGATTAGAGCAGCACTTTTCCGAGCTGAACTGGAGCCCTGCATTCTTTATTGCAGCCAGTACTTCCTTGAAGTTTGCGGTTGTGTTTGTCTGCATCCATCCTGTTCATTAGGATATTATCGAGGTGATTCTGAATGCCAGGAATTCATTTGAGTGTAAGCTTGGAGATCAACCTGTTAAAATCAGCTGAAGTGGATTTTTGTACAGTGAGTGGTAGCCCCCACAACTGTTCCTGGGCAGCGTTTACATTCCCAATTTTCACCCAATGCCTTATGCAAAAGCTGACTTTTGTGCTTGGGCTGCTTTTGCTTTTATTTATTTACAGAAGCAGTGGGTGACAAAATTTAAATGTTTGAAATGATGAGTTTGCCAGATTTGACAACATAAATGGTAAAATCATTACCATGTTACCTTGAGGCTGGCAAATGGCTAATGGCTAGCAAACCTGATTCAGTTATCACCAAGTTTTATTAAAAAAACATACCTCAAATTAAACTGTTTATATTACAGAAGGGGAAAAAACAAGAAGTACACAATACCTCAAATTTTCTACATTACTTCCTATCTAATCAACTACAGAATATATATATTGGTAACACCCTAATCCACAAAACCAGTGAATTGATGCTGAACAACTTGAAAGTGGAAAAGTAAATATTCAGGATCTGTATGACGGTATTCTCTATTTAACAACTCTGCAATGGCATTTTTTACAGCTTATTGAAAAGCCAGTAAGTCTACCAATAGCAACATGACACCTTGCAAATGTACACCAGCATGGCACAATCCAGATCCTGTAATAAATAAAAGTCAGCTTCCCACAATGGGGAAAAAAATGGAAATTTTGAAAATGAAAGACATTTTGCAAGTTGTCCTGGAAATGGCAGGAAGTGTGCTATGGGAAGGCACAGTGCTGGCTGTCATTATATATATCTCTCATCTCTCATGCAGTGGGTGTCACACAGTGGAGCCAGATCTTATGGTCTCCTACCAAACCTTTAAACTCTCACATGTTAAAAAACTACAGAGCCCCGCCGGTGACAACCTGTATAAATAAAAATAATGTGTGACCATGACTTAATACAGCGTAGGAACAAGATCATACCAGCACAACACACACTAACACACCGCCACAATGTCAGTGTTACTGCAGTGCTGAGAATGATCCATCACCCAAAGAGTACCTGCTCTGTAAGGGTCCTGACCACTGAAGAACAGGGTAAAAGGGGGCTAACAAAGTATGCAGAGATGTATGCAGTCTGTAATTGTAGAACTACAAAGTGCACCAATATAGTAAGTGGAATGGATAAAATGAACAATGAGCATAGAAACAAAGAGGTGGTCATAATGTCATGCCTGATCGGTGTATATAGGCTAAGCTGTGCAACATGGGGAACATCTTGTGGTCATATGCTGGTACTAAATAGATTGTTGTGGCATAGATGCGGTAGTTTTCTCTTCAGAATCTACCACTATTACTTCAGAGATTTGACAGTTTTCTTAGCCGTTTTTATGAACTTGTGGTTTTTCTGGACTACAATTAAAGTCAGACTTCATTCATAACAAGGAATACAAAATACCTAGAAGTTCATATTTTGAATACACAGATTATAGATCAGTTCAGTCTCGGTTGGTACACTTAGAAAGAGTGTGGGTTTACTCTGTAGGCATGCTTAATATGTTAGGTGAATTAAGGTCATAGTGACAAATACTTTCTCAGTAAAGTTCAATTAAGTTCAGTATTAATTCTAATCGAAAGCTTAAACAACTTTCGAACAACCTTCGCTTTCTTCTTAATAACTAACCTCAATAAGATCTGCTCCTTCAGTCCTGTCAGTCTCCTTCAACTTCTTTCTCTCCCTCTCTTCCTGTGTTTAGTAATACATTCATTTATTAAACTAAGATTTACAAGAACTCACGAGAACAATAAGGGGTCAATTTCTTTTAACTGATAAAAATCTTCTTATCTGACTGGCCTTTAGCCTTACTGTGAACAACATATACGGCAAATACTGGTGTTTCCAAATACTTGAAATAAGTAGAAATAAGGAGGAACATAAAAACAAAGGAGATATAAAAGCATGGCTTCTCAGCAAGCTGTTAGTGTTAGCCTAACCCCTTTTTCTTTGCCTCGCATAAATCCAAAGTGAGCTGACCTAGCAAACAAACAACTGAGTAAAAACCTGATAGCCAGCTATTCTGTCCGTAAGTTGTCATAGTGTAAGTGGGTATCTTCACTCTGTAACTACTTAGTGTTTCATGTTGTATATCATAAGTTTTGACGAGGATCTAAAGTGTGTATTTTAGTGAGCTTTTAACCAAAATGTTCAGATTCATTGGTTACTGAATCACATTACTGTGCAGACCGAGTAAAACCAGAGACACTCCCCAAGGGCTGATGATGATTGGCTTACAACTTGCGAGGTCTGATATAATTGGTGTACAACTTACCAGGTCTGATATTATTGGTTGAGCTGGGGGTTCCACATTTCATATTAAGTTAGTAAACTTGGCTGGTAGCATAGCAGAGGCAGTGCAGGGTTACAGCAGCAGCAGTGCCTCCCCACATTGCGGCCTGCGGTCACAGGGCACAACTTCATATCAGGGCTTAGTGTGGGCTGCCAACATAGGTGGCCTAACATGGGGCTCCACATGTGCCCCTGGTTTCATGATTGACTGGCACCCCACTATGGGCAGCCCACTTTAAGCCCTCATATGAGGGCTTAGGGTGGACTGCCACCACAGGGCGTCCGCACATGCACCTGGTTTCACAACTGACCGGGGCCCCACCCCACACATGAGGGAAACCCACACCAAATCCTCACATGACTGAAACTCACACCAAGCCTTCATACAGCACTTGCAGGGCCCCCATGTTAGGGCCCAATGCTGGCGGCTCACACTATGCCCTCATATCATGGTTTATAGTGGGCTGCCGATATAGTGGCCCCAAATTGGGGATCCACGGTTGTGTCCCGGTTTAACAACTAACAGGGGCCCCAAAAAGCATGGTCAAATTTTTAGCTTGTTCTTTTAGCCCACCGCTGGGAATGGCCTGCCAACACTGAAGCCCACGGGTTTCCACCTTTTCATAGTATATGCAGGGACGTACCTTTGAAATGGGCTAAGTGTGGGTTTGTCCGCAGTGTCAGTATATGCAAACTGTACCTCAACATTATGATGTTAAGACATAATATCTGTTCTAAACACTAAATGCTAAATGTCCCTCAAGTATAAACATGATTACAAATAAATTTTGTGCATTAAAAATCTTTTTTCAGACAGCATCCTATTACCAACTTAAAAATTCAACAGTTACTTGTAAACTATATTCAGGATCCATAGCTTACCAAGGTTTCCTTTGCATGTGAGGTACACAACTCTATATTGCAGAAGAAGACTGTCCAATGTACAGAAACTTCCAAACCCAGAGACCTTCCTGCACAAACCTCACCCAAACACATGCTCACAAACACTACGGAAGACAAGGTCTGCTAGTGTGAAACATAAATAAAATAATAAACAATAAAATATAGAAAGAAAATCTTAGAAATTAATGCAAACACATGTAAAAACAAATGTAAATAGTATATGTAAATAAACAAATAATTAAAGTCTCACATTAATGTATTTGCATACACATTATTTTATTTATTTTAAGCAGACACAAACATACACACATATACAAGCTTCCAAGCTTCCAGTCTCATGTTGTAGTCACATCTGATAACTAATATTTCATATTAATGTGACTTCCAACAGTGAGGGCTACTTGCCTTGTACTAGAACCTGACAGAGTGATATGGTGGTGTGCACAGACTTCAGTGCAGGGAGGTATATGAATATATACAGTTACAGACAAACATATTCCAATATTGTCAGTAGTGACTTTGACTTTCCCGTTTCACATTAAGTAGAGCGGCAGTTACATTCTGGCACCTGTACATGTGCCAGAATGAAACTGCTTCAACATGTAAGGTGGAAAAAGAATATCTGAATAAGTAACTTAGCTGCAAACATAGAATGCAGTAGGCAATAAAAATAGGCAGGAAATATAAACATAGTTAAAGGCACACTTTTCCTTGTAATGACTACAAACTACTTTTATCTTTTTCAGTTAAAGAACTGAAGTCTTCAACTGCCAGTGAGTTAGCTAACTAACATAGCTATGCTAGCTACCTAACTAAATCTAATGAGGTTAGCCACAGAATGGATTTAAACTCAACAAACTGCTTTCGCATTAGCTTGTTAAAGTCTTCTTCAGTTGTTTTTTGCTGTTGACATACCAAAATTGATGACAGGCTGAAAACCTGTCACGCTAACACTGAAATTATGTTGATGTGTTGGATTATTTGTAGCCTCAGTGTACTGTCCATTCAAATCCATTGTCATTATACGACTGGTTTAGTGGGCCTCTTAAAAAATGCACCAGTGGCAATGACTGTAAACTTTCTTGACAACTTCCTGCTCCGTTATTCACTACTGCCTACACAGTCTTTTCAATTCATTCATTTTTACTCCTGGTGGTTTGGAGTCTAAACTAATCTTAATTTTATAACGCCTGATTATGCTGTGTGGTCCATGGTACAGAGAACTGTTAGCTTAAATTGGTATGCAGCTCTTATCTCCTGATGATGGGTCTGAAAATCCTTACTTTTAAAGTTCATTTTGTTCAACAGCTATTCATATGAGGTGTGGCACTCTTTTAGGTACATCTATACATTTTGTGTATTTCCATATAATATATGTTACCTGGGCATGCATTATAAACTTTCTTGAACAACAGTAATCAAAGATCCAGAAATAGTATCCAGTCAAAGATCCAGAAATAGTAACAAATGCATTAAAACACAATAATAACTCTAGTAACGGGTATGACAGATACACAGTATGGTTAATAAAAGAGAAGCGTTTTCCATCAGAAATTGAATGTTTAGAGGAAAAGGTGGTAACTGACTATATGCAATTTAACATGTGTGCAAAAATGCAAGCTACTGTAAATATATGTAGCATATGCATGAGTTTAATCAGGACATTCATGATGGAAAAAATCAATTGCAGTGAGCCTAAGATTGTCTAATAGTTGGAATCCCTCAAAATGAATATGAATTATTAATGCAATTAAATATATGCATTGGCTAAACATTTTATTTTTTAAGCTTGCATACATTCTCCATTTTTTAATTTTGACACTACCATGTATTAATGGCACATTTTTCCTTCCTGATTGTATTATTACAATTTGCTATATCACACATTTTATGATTAGTTTATTTTCAGATTTTTGAAGTTTACATTGTTTCACATGAATGTATGTTACGAAGAACAAACTAGGAGAACACTGTCATTTGTTAAAAAGAAAAGAAACAGCATTGCGTTAGAAATGGCTCAAACTGAATACACTGGCTCACATTGTTGAACTAAAGACCCCAGCAGGATAATACATAACACTATATTGGATGGATAACATAATCCCACAATTTCTCCTGTGTACAGATTGCAGAAATGGTCTTTCAGTAAAGTCTGCCATTTCTATCAGTTGCTTATAGAAAAGCTCTCCCTTAGGAAATTGGAAATACACCAGTACTGTACGGAAAACCTATCCAAAAATGCCCATTTTTCTTAATAATGACTGAAAGCATGAAAAGACCGGTTAGCACATTGGTATGTTATTATATCACTTTTGGGTGAAATGTTCTGTTAAATCTGGTCATTTGCTAGGTATCAGTAATTTAGGTATTAGTGAGTACAAATTCTCTAGCTTTCTTTCGTTTCATTGCCCATTTGGTTACAAAAGCTATAAGACATACCATAATGATTACCACACAGATTGAGACCACTATAGCGGTCAGGTTCAGGCCTGGTTTTGAAATTGCTGGTGGTCTGGGAGTCGGTACAAACTTTGATGCTTGAGCAACATTAGATACCTCAGACTTCATTGCCTCCTTGTCCTCTGACCGAACAGCAAAGAACAAAGTGGTCCCATTTTGGATTGTGACATCAGACAGGAAGGAAAACTGTTCGTCTGAACCTGCCTCTTGTGGTTGGAGTACTGATGTGTTTACTGGATTAGCATCGCTGAAGTTTTTCTGAAGAATCTCCAAATGTTCGCTCCATCTAATTTCATAGGATTCAGCTTAAAAAGGAAAAGCAAGAAACCTATTAGAGAGATCTGGTCTACTCCATTTAACTTACAAAGAGTTTGCTAATTAGCTGATGAGCTGAATCAGGTGTGCTAAATGATGTAGAACACTAAACTCTGCAGTGCTGTCAATCTGAAATTCCTGATCTATACCATTCCAGTCAGTGCCTGTCTGTGTGCAATACTGAAGAAAAAGAGCAAAGGAAAAACATTGCAGCAGTAATCACTTTTACAGTGTTGAGGATATGTATTCATGTTCTCTATTCACACTCAGTGTGGTTTCAAATCTTTCAGTGATAGAGCCTAAACTGGAACTGGGAAATATTTACCTGTTCCTTGATCAAAGTCCTCCCCAGGAGCCGTCCAGTTGAGAAGCACTGTGTCCTCCTGGATTTCAGCCCTCAGATCTGTGATCTTGTTGGGAGGGAAGTTCGGTGGGGTTACGCCTGAGGGCACACTCGCCACAAAGCTCTCTCCAGTGACTGTTCTAGTGAAGCTGCCAACATCTGCCGGCTGCACATTTACTGGGGGCTTCTCAGGATTTAGTTGTACTTCACCTGAAAAAAAGAGCTGAATGCCAGTCTTCATGCTGCATTTTGAGAGACAGGACATATTCGGATTCACACAGTTACAAAACTGCTTGCTTATTTCCTGTGATGAGACTAAAGTGCAACTAGCTGAGCTCTTTTTGGGTGTAAATAATGAAAATACTAGGGTCAGGCATTAACCCTTAGAACGCAAACTTTACAGACAATTTGCATGGCAGCACTCAGGAACGACTGAAAACACAGACACATATTACATCAATGTGCTTTTGTTTTTCTTTTCTGGCTCCACCCTGGTTCCACCCAGTCTGCCACTACACACAACTGTGAATCATCCTAGGACAAACTGAGACTCCTATACATACCACTTTGTTTTCCCTGTGTGTTTGTGAAGTTCCTGTTATCGGAGTTCGGAGCTATGGTTTTCCTTTTTTTTACTTTACTGTTTTTTGACCATCACTTTCTCTCCTGGTTTTGTTAAAATGTATCTTCCTTCGATATTTCCTGCTTGTGTTTTGAACCCCACCTGTAAGGATTGTGAGTACTGGACTGCTCTAAATAAAGACACTTCGTGTTTGCAACCTGCTTCAGCCCCCTACGTTATACCTTGGCCTGCTTTGTTAGCTATTGTAGTTTTAGCACTCACCATGGATCCAAGAGGAAACTTAAAAATATGACTGTTTAATGCTAACCATATTTTTTCACACAATAATAAGCTACTAAGTAAATATTTGATCAAAAAATGTATGCACACACTTTATAAGAATACTTAACACAAAGACATATGCAAGCCTGATACATGTTATGATCAGGCGATAGGGTTCACAGCAAAGAATGGCCTAAAAACAATGGTTTATGTTATGTGATGAAAATTTCCCCAACTTACCATCCACAATATATCCAGGGACATACAGAGCACCACTGTTTCTGTTGGGGGAACCACTGATGGCTCCACCTTGGTGTATGACCTGCACTTTCAGACTGTACCTTCCATTCTGTGCTTTAGGGAAATATCTAGAATAGATGCCATCATCCTTAAAAGCATCAGCTCCTGCGTATGTTATGAAAAAATACAAAGATACATTCTTGCTCAATATAAACAGCCTCCAAAAAATATTATTTAAAGCAATCTCATGTGGTCCTTAATGAAATTATTTATATAACCCATAATATCATATTTTGGATAATTTATTAATGTAAACAGAATTTAAGGGTAGTACCTGCTCCGTTATCCAAAAGGTGTAATGTTTCTGTATGTCCAGTATCTGACTCCAGGGTGGCCATGACTTTGGCCCCCAGCACAGGAAGGTAATTCTGACTGACCTCAGCATACACTACCATGGGTTTACTGCCATCCCTGGTTGGTTTCTTCATATCAGTCTTAACCATTATGGGGGGGACATCATCACGTGCTGCCCGACTTGTTACTGTTAAAGTCATAGTCTGAGCAGTTGATTCTTTGTTGAGGAAGCTGTATTTCCAGTCTCCAGGCTGTCATCCACAAGAGGAAGCAGGAATAGTTCATTATAGTCATATATAAGTCCCATATGTTAATGTATATATATATATATATAGATAGACAGATAGATAGATAGATAGATAGATAGATAGATAGATGATAGATAGATAGATATATATAGATAGATAGATAGATAGATAGATATAGATATATATAATATATAGATATATATGCACACATTTATATACATAATTTTTTTCTACCTGGATTCCAAGATTGTGCTTTTGTTGCCATTGATTCATTTATTACATTGTGTAATATTAAGTCAGTCTAATCATCTAGTACAGTGAAGTAAATGTTGACAATCCAGAAACGGTGTCATACCTCTGCAGTTCCAGGAACATTTAAAGTAACTGTCTTTGCAGCTGCATTATGAGTGACATGAGTCTGATCATTCTGATCATACACTGAACCACTTGGCGTCTGTATGTACACTGTGGGTGCACTTCTTTCATAGATTATTGTAAAGGTGGTGCTGTTTCCTACAGTGCGGTCTATGGGCACTGTTCCATTGAACCAGTCATTAATAATCCTTCCAGTGCTCTCGAGCTGTACAGAAAAAAAGTAGTGAGGAAGATATGCTGGCTCACAATGTCAATCAGACCAATGAGCCCTTTTCACACATCTGTAATAGATGCAACGGAAGTAGTCATGGTAGGGAAATTACAGCAGTGGTGGTATTTACGAATGAGGATGCAGTGGATCTACATATTTTTACATCATTATTAAGTTATGTTATTAAGTTAAGCAGTTTTCAGAGATGAGCGACCTTGACAAGGTCTTCATTAAGAACAGCTACTGTTGCTTCAGTGCTGGCTGGGCGAGCGGTACAGGTAAAAAGCTGTCTGTGATCAGAAAGAGAATATGTAACATTATCTATAAACAAAAGACAATGAGGTATAACTGCCTATGTTAACGTTAAATCCCACCTGCACAGCATTGACTATATTCTGCTAAACATTAGCAGCTGACCTCATTGAGTAACTTGTCCTGAGGCCTTTAACTTACCTTTGTAATCATGCAGATAGCTCTTAAAGAAAAGCTCATAGCCCTTCTCTACACATGAAAACCGCTCCAGTGAATGACATCTTTTGTGGTAAAATGATGTAAATACCTTAATAAGGATGTAAAAATAAGTCCTCTACACTAGAGACATTATAATGGAGGACTGTGTTTACATTCTAAATCATAGACACTACTGCTGCTGTAATGTTTTTTCCTGCTATGATGTCTTCTGCTGCGTCAAATAAGGATGTATGGAAAGGGTCTGTTTCTTGCAGTGAATATGTAAGTAAGCTTACCTGAATTGTCTGTTTGGTGGGATCTCCATCCGAGACTGTAAATGAAGAAAAGGTATCCACAAGTTGATTGGAAAGCAAACTCTGATCAGCAAAGAAGAACTTTCCATCTAATAAAATGAATAGAAAAAAGTCACATTACCATCCACTCTGGTCATTGCCAGGATGCGGAATACAGAGGGTCTTGGTAGGTCCAGGACTTCCTAATTAACCTCTTGGACCCTTTGAATGTCTCAAAGTGAAAATTCTAGGTGGTTCCCTGGAAATAAACTTATGCTGTTATGCTATTAGTTAAGGTAAAATAGACACCAAGGGAAAGATCATTGTTTAGGCTGTTTTAACTATGAAACAACGAACTTCTGTCTGATATTCTAAGAGAAGCAGCACTGGTCTGCCTCAGTGTGGTGCCGTAGCACATTGGTTTGCCCAGTTGGACCTTCAGAGCAGTTCACCAGTTATTGGCCTGACCGATAATTGCAGCTGAAATTTAGCATTTTTCCGATTATTAGAACTGGCACTTGAACTTGATGAAAGCTATTTTTGTTATATATACACATATCTGATGCAATCATGATAAAAAAAACACACTTCTATTGTAAATTTTCACACTATAAACATCAAATTTATGGTACATAAATATTAGTCCCAAATATCGGTTAACCGTGATTACTAATAACTGGTATGGGCACTGAAAAAGCCATATCTGTTGGCCCCTACATCACAGACTAGCAACTGCCTGAAATACCTCTGAAAATCTTTACAATGTGCCATAGCATATTTGTAAATGTGAAAACCTGCCCAATTTCCTAAAAGATTGGTGGATCAAGTGAATTGTTACTCATTTCTCAAACTAAGGCAAAAGACGAGATGTGAAAATCAGTTAAGATCAATTAATGTGTGATAGACTGCATTACGAAAGTAGAAAAGAGCATTTCCAAAATGGGTATTTCACACACACTTCTGAGAAATGAGCTTAAAGCTCCAACAGATTAAACATTAGCAAACTTGAAATAGATGACAAACTTTATTTCACTGACCCACTCTACATCATTACTCTGACTATCATACCTGTTAGAACTGCCATGGTTTCCAGCATTTTAGAGGCACTCGGACCAAGTGCTATAGTGTTGATGATGGCACCACTGTCCACAGCTGACTGTAAACAACTCTGAATATCATCTGTCGCTTCACCATCTGTCAGAAAAATCACATTATCTCCTACTGTGCTTTGATCATCTTCCTGAAGGACCTGAAGTAAACGATAAAAAAAAAAAAAAATTCTGGGATGGTCACACCTAGACTCAATATTAAACTACTATTTTTCCAACAGAAAAGCACTGTCTAGTACAAAAAGAATGTAGGAAATAATAAAGCACATTTTGCACACATATTGTATCATACCTGAAAGCCAAGTCTAAGTCCAGTACACATGTTTGTTGATCCACCCACAGTTCTTGGCAACTTATTAATTAAACTGTCTCTTGGGGCTGAACCCTCTACTTTAGTCAATGAGCTTATAATGTCTGCATTGGTACTAAACTTGACAATGCCCACATATGCTTCATCCTCCACAATCTCACTTAGAAATAACGTAGCAGCTTGCAGCAGTCGAAGTATTCTCTCACCCTGTAAACAAAATATTACAAACAGCCAAATATTATTTTTTGGTAATTTAGTTTTTATGTAATTGTGTTTTTTTCATACTGCTTTTTAATACACAGTGAGTACCTTAGCCTCTTAAATCAGAAATCTGTAGGTCACTCTATGCTCTAACAGTTTTGCCACCTTCTTCTTGAAATCTATTAGATGAACATTCATGTACAGAATGTATTTTCTGTAGTATGTGTCAAACACTGTGGCAAAACCAAATGACTCTTATCAGCAACAGATGTTTTTCCTTCCCAAAAGGCTATAAAATTTGATAACTTCTAAATCTCAATTATTAATAAACCTAAATTAAATATACAAATAATTAAAGTTGGGAGGGTACTTTAAAAATATATTGGGATTACGATTTCTGGTTATCTGTTAAACATGTAGTCTGTAACCTAATGCAAAGTATTACCACAATCAGATTAATGTCTATTACTTTTCATTAACTTGATTTAAAAAAAAAGACCAGAACAAAACAAGACCAGAAAAAGACAAGACAAAACAAGGCAAGACTCACTTTACACAAGGCAAACAGAAAAACTAAATGTTTTAGGACTAAAAATGATATAGGTGATGTAGAATTGCCTGCATTTTATGTGTACCTCCATAAATAATAAAATAAATTTGTTGTATTTTTTTTTACTAAGGTTGTGACACAGAACTGCGCAAGTGGTGTGAGTTATCTTTCTGTGGGTCAGCTGGTAGTATGTTCAATCACATGCCTAACTGCCTTTGTCTAAAGCTCTCCACAAGGGGGAGCTACTAACACTCAAGTATCCCATTTACCAATCAAGTGTCCCATTTACCCATGACCAAATCCTATGTATTAATTAATTTATTTATTTAGCTCAAATTATCTTTTTAACGTGGCTTATACCTGACAATATAAACAGATCATGCTCCAAACAGACTTGAATACATAAAAGAAAATTGCTCACACAGCTGTCCTCTATCATTCCTTAAGATAAATAGGCCCTTTGTCATGATGTAGTAGTTTGCACAACTGATTGTTCAGTGGGGTTGTGTTAGTGTCTACTGTTTAAAGACAAAGTATAAAGAAAAGAGTTTTAAAAAATCAGACTTTTTTTGTTTGTTTTCACTGTGGAAATCAGAGAAAAGAAAGAAAGGAAATAAAGGTCATAGTAACAAGCATTTTGATGACGTTGCTGTATGCTGTAATGTATCCTTTCTCACAGCTATTGAAAGAGAAATGACTGGCATCTGCCCACACAAACAGGATCTCACTAATGCATCTTTTTCCTTTAACAACTAGGCCAAGGGGCTGCAGCTGGATAGTACTATCAACAAGCCTGGTTATCTGATCACTGCCTTTTCATCTTTTTCTGTAATTAAAGAATAAAGTTATGAGCTACTTCCTTTCCCCAGCTCCCTGATGGCAAACTGATTTAGCAGTTGGCTAAACTGCCTGTTAATCCTGTCACAGTTTAACCAAAATATTTTAAATTTAAAACTTTAAATTTTGAAACTTCTACCTTGTAGGTCAGGGGTGCAGAGATTAGCATTTTTCATTTTTAGCACTTTGTCTTAATAATTAGTTGATAAGTTGAATTAGGTGTGTTTAATTAGGTAGAATGCGAAACTCAGTGCAGTGCAGTGTTGTTGCTGGTGAAGACATAGGTACCTTTCCTGCACCTCATTGTTGCATTGTTGCACATCTGTTGCCACAGGCAATTAGTTGGCCGTCCTCAGTTTCTGACCACTCTTGGCAAGATTTTTTTTAAATATATATATATATATATATATATATATATATATATATATATATATATATATAAAATATACCTGACATGTTTATAAAATAGAGGAGTATATTACAGAAATATATTTCTGTAATATACTCCTCTATTTTATAAACCTGTCTGGTTAAATTTACTCCACTTTTGTAAGTATGTCACACTGTCCCATGCAACATACCTGCATGCTTCCAGAAACATCAAGGATAAGGCAGACAACTCTGTGTCGTCTCTGGATCACCCTGAATGTTGGGGGTGGTGGTGAGGATTGCAGAGGTGTTAAAGTCTGAAGGGCATCACTGTCCACAGAATCTTGAAAAATCACTGTACGTGTAGCTTTGTTGTCACATTTCTTGTTCTGCATGTTTGGGGCTTCAGCAATATGTTCCATTACGCTACAAAATGCTGTCACCTGCAGAGAGAATAACAGTGTTAACAGTGTTTTCATAAGCATCAAGAAATAATAACTGAAATATCTCAGGTGAATGTGCTGTCATTGAGGTCTTCAAAGAATATGCTCATTGATTCTAGCTACTTAATAATGTTCTATTTAATAGCTGGTCTCATGGCTGTACACGTCTGTTTTAGAAATGAAAGCAAAAGGTAGAGCAATATTTACTCTGTTTATATGTTTAACTTACAGAGTCTAAGCTTTGCATGTACATTATTGAGGCACTTGTTTGTTGCTCTCTGTCTGGAAAGAACTGACATTCCTTCGTGGGTAACCCAGTTTCATCATAGCGACAACGAAAATATTTTCCATTGATCACTTCATATCTCTGGCCAGTTATCTCCCCAATGCATCTGAGGTAAACACATAAGTGTAAGTATATATAAAAAATGATATTATGCATGTCCATGTAAAAAATATGAGAAATTATATCTTTGAAAGCTGGTACGACCTTGTCTCCTGGACCTGCTTGTCAAACATGTAGAATGGCTCTTTCTCATTATATTCATCATACACTCCCCATCTGAGGTGAGCCCATTCATGCACAAAAACCCTTCCTGAAAATGAAACATATTGTAGCATGTTTAAGAAATGTTTACATGTTACATGTGAGCTGAGTAGCGAACGAGGTGTTAGTAAAGAGAAAACTCTGCTTATATATCTTGTAACTGTGGCCAACAAGAACTGGTTAATAGAGCACCACAACTTGTGTGAAAGCTGTGTCTTTTTTAATAGCCTTGAATGCTCCAATATGTACTGATATATTTTAAGGATAGAAAAGGCCAGAAGCTTGTAAATTTGTGCAAAATGTGATCACTTCTTGATCACATTTTGATCACTTACGTCAAATGTAATTACACAACACAAATGTCTTTTATATTCTTTTAAATTATGTTTGTTACCCTTTTTTGATGATATGACAAGATGTATATAGCTCTTACCTCTAGGCCCATATGCATTAAGAAGGTCGTCATTTAAGAGGAAGTTTGGGGTGAAGTGAACATGCTCACTCTCCTCTCCACAACCTTTCATCTGTTTAGTGTATGGCTCATCACCATATGCTGGGTTTGGGTAATCAATTATTACATTGGCCTAAAAGAACACATGACATTTTATGAATATTCTTACGTACAATAACAATCAACATAATAGATTCTGGAATAAATAGTATTACTCCTATGTTGTATATTATCTCCACAGCCACTATATAAAAAGTGAATTGATTGCATTTTGTACCTTATCATAGGTTTCTCTTCTTGCTCGCTCATATGTTCCGCTCCAGTTGAGTGGTACGAGTATTTTAACCTCCTTAAAGAACACCAGGTTGTCTAAAGCTTGAAACAGATATTCTGATCCACTTGTAACCATTTCCTGTTTAAAAAAATCAGTGAAGTTATAATGTCAGAGAAAACAAACCTCAAATCAATAATAACTGGAGAAGTGGGTGGTGGTATAGAAGTAATAAGGTATATGGCAGTTTTTAAAAATGATGTTGATATTTCTAAATTGTCACATCAAATTTCTATTCCACATCTGAATGGCCAGATAAACACGTTCCACTCATTTACATTTTTAGAGAGGCTCACTGATTTGTGGTGTGAGAGCTCATTAAAAGAACTTCAGAAAAACTAAGCATGATAATGGATCAGCAAAAGCTGAGAGCTACGTATGCCACACAACATGTTTGATTTCAGATTTCACTCTAACACCGGCCACTTGACTTTGCACTCTTAGATATCTTCTGAATGGGGGTCATATTTTCATCAGTTAGCTGGACTCAAGCCTGTACTGTGTGTCACTGTTTTGGAAAACCATAATCATACATGTTCTCTCTCTTATTTAGCAGCACATGCAGCAGTTGTTGAAAAGATGGTTTGACATTTAATGTTTAGCAATTGTTAGACAGATGGTTTCACATTTATTAAATTGTGGCTTGAAAATTGTGCACTGTGTTCATTTTTTCTGTGACCATGTAAGCAAACTAAACTCAAATTTTATACCCATACAAAAATCTGATATATGGCAATATATGGATTTCAATCATATGACATGTATTGGCATATATGGATTTCCTTTATGTTCAACTTTAATTTGTCACATATGGCCATTTATGTGACTTACATCCCAACTTATTTGAAATTGGCCATTTTCAAATATGGGATGTATATTTCAGCCATTTATCAGCATATACAAAACGATATGTGTAACACATGTATTTAAAAATATATGATATATAGATATATGTATGGATGGCACAAGTAACTCATATATACTAGTTTCATGCTATATAAGTTTTTTTCATTGAGTGTATGCCTTTGGTGTATTTCATTTTGGTTTATTATTATTAAAAATCTTTCAGTGTTTGTATCAGACATATGTACTATATGAACAGTCTATATATTATCCATATATTATGCATGTGTTCACCCACCTATCAGAAATATATGTATGATCCATACATGTCCAATATTTGATACTTACATTTACATACATATATTTTGAAATATATATCAGACTCTTCATAACATGTGCATATGTGGCCATGTATCAGATTTCCGTATGGATATTTTTGATTTTAAAATAATAACACAGAAAGAGATTACATAAAAGTGGCATAAATGCTTTTACATTACTTTTGATGCTTAGCGCTAGATGATTTGAAGGTAAGAAACAAGATACTGCACAACCCCTATAAGCTGTGCAAAGAAGTGTTGGATCTGTAGAAGGATTACTGTTTTACTGCTTCTACCTTCTGAACAGAACAAGCCAAATGTATTGACAAAGGCCCTCTTGGAAAAAAGACTTATTAATAAATTCAGCCATCACAGCTGCTTCCTTCTAAACACTCCCTTGTAATTGTCGTAAATCCTTTGTTCTGCAGTGTACTGTAAGTACACTAAAGCTTTTTACATACTGCAACACCTCAAACTTGCCCTCTTCTATGCTCTGCTCTGTTCCAATGAAATTATCATGTATAAACTTGCCATGTTTAAATTTATAAGCTTCAAAACATGCCAGGTCCATGATTTATTTGACTATACATATGGAACTCGAATGAATGAATTTGAGCAGAAAACACTTTGCTGCTGTATTACAGAATGTTAAATTTACAAAGTGAAGCAAATTTAAATAAAAGAAAAAGTCCAAACAGTACATTAATAGCATATCTAAAGTATTCTCCTTATTGTGTATAGTCGAATGCAAAAGTAATATACAAAAGTTTTGCATGCCTGGTCAAATTACTTGTTTTGTTGAGTTTCTACATTTTCTACAAAGGACATACAGAAAAAAAGAAAAAAACATGTTGAATAATTAATAAATACCTTGATTTGGTTTATGATCTCTTCATTTTGAGGCACAGCTGGGTTGATGGCTACAACAATGTCAGTGTATCCATTTCCATCCAGTTTGATTCCTGTATTTTGTCCCAGTGCATTGAGGAGCAGCAACACTACAGCAAACACCATGACTGCAACACTGAAACAAGAAGCCCAGAGTGTAACTCTTGTACTGTAAGTTGTACGTCCCCCTATTCTGAGTCATAACGAAAAAATTCTTCTTGTCAGACGTTAGTAGGGAAGGTCCAGGGAAAATCAGAGCATGGCCTTTGTTCTGCTATTATACCAAACATGGCTACAAGCCATCACAAATCATGTGCTTTTAGAAACTGCGCCACTCTTTTGTCGTTTGCTGTGCTACAGTGCACAGTAACTGGGGCAAATGGATACATTTTGGCACAAACTGGATATGAGACAAGATTGGGTTTTGTAGGAATCCACATATGTTCCATCCAGAAACTGCACTTAGGTGAAAGTATGGGTACTGTGTCAAAATCTCAATTCAAAAGCAGAATAAAGAACAAACTGCAAAGAAAAACATAATTTACTTTTAAGTCAATGGAACCAGAATTTTTCCCAAGTCATTTTGGGTCATTTCTTTTGGTACATTCCTCATGAAATTTACACACAACGTATAGGACAACAGGCACTTTCACATTATGTCAAAAACTAAGAAATGAGATACGAGGTTTTCTTCTGACAGCAGCTATATATACATTTTATATATAATGCTGGAAACCCCGCCCATAGTGGCGACACTCCCTAAAGAGGCTATCAAGATGATTTACAATGTTTACAAGCTTGTCAAATGAGAGGCCCTCATCCACACAGGCAAGCTGCGTCTGCACACCTTCTCTGAAATGCCTCCAGAATAGAGCACATAATGCAGACAGTCCAGCCAGAGTATAGAACAGTGTGCCCTGATGGAGCTGCAAGACCTTTCCACCACTCTTCTTTCTCTCCGGAGGACGGTGAAAGAACAAGTTATGAACAATGGACGGCTATGAACAAGTCAAATAATGTAACCTCTTGTCTTCCTCTCTCCCAATGGCTGTTGTCTGGTCTAGCGCTCTGTCCACCTACAAGGAAATGACTATTGCTGAATCAGCACCAGGTGCACTTTACTGGTGAGCAAAACACAATGATCACAATGATCAATGAAAAGACAGGAGCAAGGGGGTTGGCAGATTCTCAGAGGTTTAGAGCGCTGCCTGCAGGCTAAAAAAGCTGAATGGCGCTTGATAGCTGAACCCATCGAAGGTGCACCCTATGGCATCTCCTAGTGATGATCGCCAATCAATCTAGCCTGCGTGGCTACTGCCTTGATCAGATCCATGATGGTCATGGTGGATCTTTTGTAAAGTGCGCTTCCTGCTGTATTTATTTTCCAATTCTTTTCATTATTGTCACAGTTTGTCACAGTTGGATGGCTTCAGATGTGAAGTGGAGTGGTTCTGTGGAATGTGTGATGTCCTACTGGTCTGCCATCAAGTGCAAATTTCAACAAATTTCCTGTTGAGTCTAAGAGGGATAAGAACCTAGGAGAGTGATCACAGTACCATTCCCAGTATTTATAATTGCTTAACCAGAGATAAGGGACAGCTTACCCAGCTTTAGAAGTAGGGGGATCATAGGGAGCTGGTCTGCTGGTCTTGACTGGACAGGTGTCTATTTGGTGTTTAGGGTCCCAGCTGTTTGCACCTCTTACGTTCTGTTGTGAGGAGATAAATGTTGGAAATCTTGGAAGACATTTCTGGGAAGAAGCTGGAAAGCTCACCCATGGTGGCGACGCTCCCTCAAGAGGCTATCAAGATGATTTACCATGTTTAGAAGCTTGCTAAGTGAGAGGCCCTCATCCTTGCAGGCAAGCTCCGTCTGCACATCTTCTCTCAGATGCCTCAGGAATTGAGCACATAATGCAATTTACAACAAAAATGAGAAGCGTTGTTTTTTTTAAAGCAGTCAATGAACCTCACAAACCATGGCTGAGATTTCCAGGAGCTCACAAGTCACATCAACACCGGTTGCATATGGGTAATGGATCTTTACTCTGATTCTGTGTCATTTTTACTTTGTCAAAGCTATATAATGATATTTGTCCATCATATAGTTTTATGCAGTGTAAAGTGTGTCCACTAGACAAAAACATCTCACAAGTTTACACAGTTAATAATACATTTAACTTAATCAGTGAAACCTCAGTCACCCATACGCACAGTCATGTGCAAAATGTGCACTGACCTTTTTTTCCTTTTGCACTGCCAAATAAAACTTCTTTTCTTTATTTACTTGAAGGAAATTTATGCCCATGCTTCCATTGCTTCTAAGCACTGACACTTACGTGACTGTAACCATTTGGCAAGAGTTACTTAAATGCATAACTATTATAAGTCATTTTGGTAACATGCATGTAAACAAGAACATGACTACTGAGTGCTGAAGTACTCTATCTCTGGAAGCAACATCAGTATTAGAACTGTTCGTTCTGAGGTTCTTGGGTTGGTGTATCCTGGTGGTTGGTGTACGTATATGTATCCTGAGCATGCTTTATATCTTATCTGGTCTACCATGAAATCAAGCATAATACAAAACATAGGATATGCTTAAAATATTTATTAAAAACACCATAATCACCACAATAACTGATATGACAGATACATCATATGGTGAAAAAGGAGAAGGGCTGGGTGTTTAGAGGAAAAGGTGGTAATGGGTCAACATTACATTTTGTAATTTAACAAATGTGGACATAAATGCTTTTGCAAGCTGCCGTAAATGCATGTAATAAATGAACAGGTTTAATCAGGACATTTTTGATGCATCCGATGACACAATTTAGGTCATTATTAGGTTGTTTGACCTTTTGCTGTGTGTAATGTCACATCTCAGAGCTACAAAGGCAGAAAGGAGAGGAAAGCTGGAACTCAACACTTATGCAGAAAACAGTGAAAAAGAGCAGAAACAACAACCACAGCACTACTCCTGCTACTCCTGTCTCAAGCTGTAACACAGATATGGTTAAAACGGAAACCACAGAGACTTCCTTCAGTATAAAGAGCCTGAAAACACCCAGATAGTATCTTGGGTTTGACGGCTAGTAGCTTTCCTTAATTTCATTCTACACCTGTTAAACCTGAACATTTTATACTTGTCTTAGTTGTACTTTTTAAGCTTTGTTGGATTATGTCAATACATCTGATTACCTCAAGAAAGTGCCTGATTAATGGCCAGAGGTTAGGAGCTGTAGAACCCAATATTGTAATCATTTCCTAACAATGTGATCTAATGTCAGTGTAATGCTAGTGTAATGCTATTTTTACCAATAATGTAACACTTTATTACATTCTTGGGAATTTATGACATTTTTAGGTTGGCCATATGCAATACATTGTTAAATTATTGAGAATTTGATTTGAGAAGTTGCTATGTTTTCCAATTATATCTCTAAAAAGAAGACACAATACTTTTAAATGCAGTTACCTGAGGTCTCCTACAATGCTTTTATGTTGTAGACAGAAAGCAGCCCGGCCCAGAGTAAGGGTGGTCATATACAGTAACTTCTGAGCCTGGCTATAAATGAGTAGTAAGAGTAATAGGTACATTTGTCTCATTAATGTCAGAAGTCTTGTGTCTTGAATATAAAGGGAAATCACTCTTGATAAAATGTAAAAAAAAAAATCAGATTGACATAGTAGTGTGAAAAATTATTCAGCCTCCAAACTTAACATTCCATAAGCTGGTTAGCTGATGGTTAGCTGATGGTGAAACATGAGGACAATCTCATCTAACGAGCAGATTATACACTATGAGTGAAATATGCTGTCAGTTAGGATTTAGCAGAAAAGCAATAAACATGATGTGATGTCAAATTTACAGTAGTCTAATATAAGACATGTTTTGTTATAAAAAATTGTTAAGGACAAGTGCTTTCAATTGTTCAGCTTATTCAGATGTACATTATTTCCACATTAATTAAATATATCAATACACTGTCAAAAGTAAGTAAACTGGAAGACCAAATTGTGTATGTTTATTAACGTGGAAATGATGTACACATTTGAATAAATTACTTCATCACTTTTTTTTCCAGAGTACAGAGGTGCTGAACGTGTCCTTCTCCATTTGATGAATGGATTAGAAGCTGAATTCACCTCTCACCAGCTGAGACATCTTGTGGGCTACATGTTAATATTGCTGCATGTCAAGTAACACAGCACAGGGCTGTGGCGTCTGATTGATCTATGAAGACATCTTTACTGTCATCTTACTATCTTAAAATAATTCTGGCCCAAAATGTGGAATACTAACTAAATTTTCATTGTCACAGACAGAAGTATTACATCATTCATTTGGAAAAATGATCAACTTGTAAATATGACACAGTCTCAATCATGTTATAATGTATTACATATCATCAACCTGAAAATGTAACACATTTACAATATTGTAATAATATATAGTAAATATGTTCAATATGATACATGACAATGTAACAAATTCATGAAAATGTAATAAATTCCCAATAATGTATTTAATAATAGTGTATGTCTAAGGCATTACATTATCAGCAACAAATCTTATTATCAGTTAAGAGATTGTATTTCGTTTTTGGTTATGTTATTATATTTTTGAACAAGTGAAAGATTTTACCACATTTCTTGGTGTTAATACAATATTTGGAAATAGTATTATTATTTAATAATTATTACAATGTTAAAGAAAGAATGGCCCCCAGAGATCCAGCAGAAGGTGCTGAGTGATGGCATCTCTCAGATGTGCAAAGCTAAAATGCAGAAGAAGGGTGGAACTCTACTCTTGTGCAGCCACAGTGAAAGCAAGCAGAAGCAGTGATCAAGAACATCACCCCTGTGAGGCAGCTACGGTTACAAAGGAAACCACAGAGACTTCCTGAAAGGTAGTGAGCCTCTACCTAAGGAAATGTTTATGTAAAAGATAATTATACTAAGATAAGTCAATAAAGATGTACTAAGATATGACCTTGACCCAGACCTATTTATTCCAGCATGGGGGAGAGTGGCGTGAGTGTTGTAATAGAGTTTACATTATGTGTAATTTTACATTGTTTCTAAATTTGAATCGACCAAAGAAATGCCCAAAAATCCTTGGAAAAATGTCTTGTTACATTGACTTACATCAAAAGTAAAGCAGGTTGTTTTCCTTCTCCTGTAAAGTTATTATTTTGGAGACATGAGGTTTTGTTCCAACAGCAGTGACAAGTTGCGCTTAGATGCTAGTATGCTGGTCAACCGGCATGACTATGCCAGTTGACCAGTTAAACCAGCACTAGACTACCATAAACCAGCTAAGACA